CAAAGCATGTCAGTCGTGCTTGAAAGATTGCTCTTTTTCTTCCTTTGGGTCAAAACAGTGATAGTAAGCAGTTTTTCAGTGTTTCAGAGCTGTGGCTCAGTGTTTTAACTTGTTTGTGCTGTAATAGCTTTGTGGGCAGTGGACAGCTCTGTTTTATCTTATGCGGCTCAGCTTTAGCCCAGCAGTGTTGATTTGTGTGTGGGATGGGTTCTTTCTCCTTTTTCATGTCAGAACAACCTTCTTGACTTTTTTTTTTTTTTTTTTTATGACAAACAAATGTCTTTTTCTCCATTAGCCTAGGTGGGAAATAACAGAGCAGTTCGTGGTGACCTGACATTGGATCTGGAAAGCTTGGTGACAGTGCCAGGCATGATGGGCTTTATAAAGTGTAGTTTTGGGTGCTTTCTGTTTTTGCATTCATTAAATAAAGGTTTATTAACAATTATTATGTGGCAGTTGCAGTGCAGAGTGCCAGGAAAACTGGTCAACAGTCTCAGTCCTCATAGAATTTTTACTCTGTAGTAAAAGCACAGACTTGTCAAGTAACTTTTAATTACAATCGTAATAAGTACCATGAAAGAGAAGTATGCGAAAAAATACATAACAGAGGAACCAGATGGGAGGAGAGAAGTGGGTGGTAGATGGAGGTGAGGGTGGGCTGCCCAGGCTAGAAGGCATTCCAGGCTGCAGAAGCAACATGTGCAAAGGCTCTGGGTTGGGAAGGCCCGGGCACACTCAAGGAACAGAAAGAGCCTAGTGTGGGTTAGAGTGGCAGGAAAGGAGGTCAGATCACAGGAGACCTTAGAAGCCCTGGTAAGGCAGCTGAGATTTGGATTCAGTGTTTTGACAAGCCCTGCTGACTGCTCTCAGTTCCATATTGGCCGGGAGACTCTTCCCGCCATCATGGAGGAGGCTCATGCCAGAAGCCAGCTCTACCCTTGGAGACTGTCTTCCCCCAGTGCTCCCCTGAGGCTTCACACCCACCAGTCTCATGCTGCACCCTGACCGGCAGGTCCGCAGCATTAGCTTCATCATCCCTGGGGTCTGCATTATCACAGGCCTGTAATAAGAGGGTAAACCTACATACTCGTTGGGGGAGGGGAGGCAAATGAAAACCCCTCTTCCTGAGGCATTCACTTTAGATTAGCGAATCTTGGCTGTGCCAGTGCTTTCTGGGCTGTCAGACAGACACAGATTGCTTACATGTCAGGCGGCACCTTGAAAATGCCTCCTGGACAGCTGTTGTACACCTGGCCAGCCATGAGGGATCCCGGGTCCAAGGCCCATCACCCAGTAATGCTCAGATCATCCTGGCAACTGCCACCTGGGATCAAGGGGCTGCTTGCCTTAACTGCCATCCTTGGCTGCCCTGCTTGGAGACCTCTCTGGCATATTCCTCATTCTCTCTGTGATTTCTTGGCATGTGACTCAGGCTGGCTGCCCCCAACTGCCCAACCTCTTGAATCCCATTCTGGGTCTTTTCCAGCTGCCAGCTTCTTCTGTGGGGGTCTTGTATAACAAGACTGTGATCCGGGCTCACTGCCGGGCCCTTTTGTGCCATATAAAACAAGTCACCTGCTCTGACTTAATTACTGCTGTGTGCATGCACATACATGTGAGGTAGCAGAGTGCAATAGATAAGACACTGTTCCTCCATCAGAAATTATAGGCTCTGCCATGAGCAAGTGAATTCTCTGGGCTCAGTTACTATATCTGTACTATGGGCATATTAATAACACCACTTTCCATACTGAGCACCAACTGCTAATTCACTGACTCCTGTGAGTACATACTAGTATTTCCATTTTTATGTGCCAGCCTCCGTAGGATTGTGAAGGTGATTAAATGAATTAATGTGATAAGTGCTTTACAACTTGAAATGTATCTGATGAAAGCAATTTTATTCAATATTGGAGAATTCAGACAGACGAAAATTGTAATTGGCAATATTTGTGGTGACCATCCTCATGTAATGTTGATTTACAAACATATACGTTTTTATAGTACATATTGTTCATTTTTTAAATGAATACTGACGGCATCCTCTGTGTCAGGCACTGTTCTGGGTACTTAAGATATGTCACTGAAGAAAATCAATGATTGCTACTCTTGTGGGGCTTCAGTTTTAGCAAGCAGATAAACAATAAGTAAGTCCACTTTGTATATTGGAATGTTGAGTGCCGTGGAAAATCTAAAAAGCAGAGCAGGGCGAGGGGGATTGTGAGTGCAGGGGGCAGAGGCAGGTTGCTTTTCTGGGAATTGTGAGTGCAAGGAAACATGGTTGCTTTTGGGGGGATCATGAATGCAGGGGATGATGGCAGGTTGCTTTTTGGGAGATCGTGAGTGCAGGGGACAGTGGCAGGTTGCCTTTTTTAGTCAGGGTGAGCCTGGTTTGTGTTTCATATGCATGGTCACGTCACTAACTTGCCAGGCATATACTGTGTGCCCCCGCCATGTGCTGCGGCCTGGAGATACAGCAGTGAACCGTGAGCAGCCTAGATAAGCAGCTCCTCCTGGAGCTTACTTTCTGGCGGGCAGAGTGGACAGTAAACAAGCAGGCAAGGACAGGTGATAATTGCAGGTTGAGGTAAGCAGTATGGAGAAATAAACAAGGTGATGGGAGGGGAAGCCAAAGGGGCAGCAGATAGAGAGATGGGGTGGTCCTTCCGAGGAGGCATTTGAGCTGAGCCTGAAGCACAAGTCTCGGCCGGCCAGGGGCAGGAAGAGACTGAGCAGGTGGAGTCAGCCCAGGGAGCCTGTGTGCCTGAGCAAAGGCAGCGTGAGGAGTGCAGTGGGAGGGAACAAGGAAGCCTGGAGAGCTGACAGCGCAGGGCCTCCCCAGCCACCAGGAAGGATCCGATTTTATCCTAAGATCAGGGGAAGGCCTCGGCAGTGCTTTGGGCAGGGCTTGACTTGATCTCATTTGTGGTGAGGGTTTTTTTTTGTTTTGTTTTTTTTGAGACTGAGTTTCACTTTTGTTGCCCAGGCTGGAGTGCGATGGTGCGATCTTGGCTCACTGCACCGTCTGCCCTCCTGATTCCAGTGATTCTCCTGCCTCAGCCTCCCAAGTAGCTGTAATTACAGGAACATACCACTACGCCCAGCTAATTTTTTTTGTATTTAGTAGAGACAGGGTTTTGCCATGTTGGTCAGGCTGGTCTTGAACTCCTGCCCTCAGGCAACCACCTGCCTCAGCCTCCCAAAGTGCTGGGATTACAGGTGTGAGCCACCGTGCCTGGCCTTGTTTGTGTTTTCAAAGGTCACCTGGCCGAGGTTGGTGGATCATGAGGTCAGGAGTTAAAGACTAGCCTGGCCAAGATGGTGAAACCCCATCTCTACTGAAAATATAAAAAGTAGCCAGGTGTGGTGGTGGTTGCCTGTAATCCCAGCTACTCCAGAGGCTGAGGCAGAGGTTGCAGTGAGCCGAGATCGCATCACTGCACTCCAGCCTTTGACAGAGCAAGACAATGTCTCTAAATATGTATGTGTATATATATATCCCACCCTACATACTGCATGAAGGGTAAGCTGCATGAGCAGTTCTCTCCACAGCCACCAGCTGGGAAGAATGCAGTCAGTTCTCAAGCTAATTCCAGCTGACATTTCTTGAACCCTCTCCTAGGTGCCATGGATCACACTTGGTGCTTTTCGGGCACATCATCTCAGTCACTCCTCACTGCCCAGTTTCTGGTTCATCTAGGACGTACCAATGTAAACTGTGATTCACTGTCTTGCAGGAGTCCCCAGAAATCCGAGGTGCAGAGGGGCCGGGGGTGGGGAGCGGCAGTGCAGTGCGGGAGGCGGATTTAGATTATTTAACACCAGAGCAGCAGCTGGCGCTTCGTTCATTTTAGGACAACTCATCCTTGTGATTAGCTGGAGGTTCACTCTTTTTCAGGAGCCAGAATGGAAACGGCTCTTCCCTTTGCCCTCCCCGAGAGGTACAGAGCCACCTTCCATTCAACCAGCTAGTCCTTTGGCGTCACAAGGAAATGATGGTTGACATTTGAAACCAACTCTTGATGATAAGTTCACCCCTAAAATAAAAATTTTCAGGAGACAGGAACCCTGTCCTGGGGAACTCTGGGACACAGCATTCCTCACAGCATTCAGATTTAAAAATACCTTCTATTAATACATTTTGGGACTCTGAGTGTCAGTGGAATTTGGGTAAAACAAGAAATGGAGACACAGCACTCAGAGGCTTCAGAGAGATTCTCTAAGCCTGTTTGCCAGATTTCTTAAGCAAGCAGGTCCCAGGCAAGCTTGATCCTGAGATGAACCCAAGGCGCACGAGCTACCCTGAAACGCTGCTGCATTTCAAAAGGAAAAAAGAAACCCAGGACCTTTCCCCCTTTCATCTTTCCAAACAAGCAACCTAAAATATTTAACTGGGCCCATTGCATCATTCATGAATCTGACAGTACTCGTTCTCACAATCCCATGTGCACGCAACTACAAGTCCAGGCCCCGAATGTTTACCTTCTCCAGGTAATAGGTGAGGCTGTTGAAGCTGGCCTCCCTCTCTGCTGAGTGCACTCCAGCAGCTTCCCGATGGTGGCCGTTAGAACAGCCTGAATTTCAATTAAAAAATAAGCTTCCCTGTCACACCGTGCCTTCTTGAATCTGATAGCTTAAGCGCAGTAAAGTCTGATAAATGTAGCTTTTCTGTGTGCGTTTCAGGCCGCATTTAGAAGGCAAAATCAAGAGGATTTTCCTTTTCCTAGACACAGCTCAGCTCTATAAAGGGCTTCTGTTTTGTAATCTGTTTTCGAGATCTGATGCATGTGTTTCTAACACCCCGTCACGTGAGGAGGTCTGACGTAGTCACCCAACATGACTATGAGAAAATATACTGCAAAGATGTGTGTGGGATGGTGCAGCCAGCTCACTGAAGCAAAATGTCCTTTGTCAGAAAACTTTCCACAGGGAATAACAGACCCGCGCAGCAGATTTCACTTTGATATGGGCCCTGCGCTGGCCCAGTATGGACTGCGGGTTTGACTTTTGCAGGATTCCAGGTCAGTATCCTAATACAGTGCGTTCTTTTTTTAGTTAGGTTTTATTTCTAAGTTTCTTTTTATAGAAGACGACTTGCAGTAGAGGGAGGAGAAAGTTGGTCTCTCGATTCAGTTGTTATTATGTACATTAGGAGTTGAGTGGCTAAGGGACCTGCAGGAAGGCTCTTGGCCTTTTCCTCTGATTAGAAGATCTAGAAAAATGGGGTTCAGTCTGGCCCTGGAGAGTGGCTTTGAGTAAGTGACTTGTGGTTTTCACTAAGAATGCAGACTGAAAAGGTTTACTTTACTCTCCTCTCTGTAACGTCTTAAAGATTTACTAATAAAAATACGCCAGATTTTACTAACAAGCCCTATAAAGAGCTGCATAATATATACATTAGTTAACAACTTTTTGTCAAGAGTTTTTTTGCATTGTAAAAATTAGAGTTTATATGGAAACTTATCATTGTATGTTTTCTTCGGTGCATTTCAGTAAGATGGCCTTAACTAATTGAAGGGAGAGAAGATTTAATTAAGCTGGAAATACTGGGAAGTAGTTAGTCAGATTATTGCCAAGAATTGTTTCCCTTATTTTCAAATTCATTCCCAGAATGAGTGAACCAATACTTAAAAGCAATATCCAGGATAGATTACAGTGACCACACTAACCTTTGAGACTTGGAAGGCAAGGATGGAAGCAATGATATATTGATTGCATAAACAGATTGTAGGTAGCAGCCCTGCAAATCAAAGAGCAATTTCCACCTGGGTATGACGTGGAGCGGACTGCTGGTCCACCTGGTTTTTCAGCCATGTTCAAATTCAAGAAATAGTAATCGCCTCACACTTGGAAAATTAAGGACAGGTATAGAGTGTGTGTATATCTGCATGACTGTGGGTGTGTCTGTGTTTCTGAATCCCTTGGTCTTTCCAGCTATCTCCTGAGGATTTCTGCTTAGTGTTTTACACTTTTATTCACTGTCTCTTTAGTCCTTTTAGGTTTATGTGTATTTATTTTGTTGAGTAAAAATTTTAAATAATTTCTTTGAAAATTAACATTTTTAATTAAAATTGTTTTGACTTTTTGGGGGGAAGGCTTAGCACAGCAGTTCTCAAACTTTTTGGTCCCTAGACTCCCATACACTCTTACAGTCATTGGGAACCCAAAGAGCTTTTGTTTATCTGAGTTCCTTCTAGCAATACTTACCACATTCCGCATTTTAAATGAGAATTTAAAGAACTGTTAGATTGATGCAAAGTAATTGCAGTTTTTGCCATAGTTTTAATTGCACCAACCTAATGTTTATTAACTGATTGAAAAATGACTGTGATAAATCCAACTGAATGATAAAATAACATCTTATTAAAAGTATTTTCTAAAAGAAAAAAATAGTGACAGGACTAGTACGGTTTTACATCTTTGCAAATATTTTAAAGTCTGGCTTAATAGAAAGTGCTAGAATTTCATCCCTGCTCCTGCCTTCAGCTCTGGTATGCTATTTTAGTTGAACTATGTAAAGGAAATCCAGCTTCTCACAAATAGGTAGTTGGAAGGGAAGTTTTTTAACAGCCTTTTCAGCTAATTGTGGATATTCTTTGATACTACACCAAAACTTGACAAGTGATAATTTCCAAAAAGTGTGTTTTTATTAGTAAATCTTTAAGACATTGCAGAGAGAAGAGTGAAGCAATCCTGCATTCTTAAAACTCGAAGGCACTTTCTCAAGGCTGCTCTCCAGGGCCAGTTCCTTTCTGCTCACTGTCAACATCACCAACCATGGATTGTCATGCCTACAGGTGCGGAGAGTACAAGATGATCAGATTGTCCCTGTACTCGAGTAGCTCATAGGGAAGATATAAATGTGAACAAATGCATCATACCATACATTGCAATGATGGAAAACCAAAAACTAGAAATTCCGGAGGAGCAAGGCTATCCAGATAAGACAAGAACAAGTGAGGATTGCCAGGCAGGGGAACTGGGAGAGAAGGATAATCGTTAAGAGGAAATATAGCTTCTCTCCTGAGGCTTTATTCAGGCAGAATGTAGAAATCTCCCGAAGTTATAAGAAAAGGGACCCATAACAAGGGAGAGTGTGCTGTGTGTGTGTGTGTGTGTGTGTGTGTGTGCGCGCGCGCGTGTGTGTGTAGGGTAGGGGAGGAGGTATAGATGTGGGGAGTGGGGAGGCTAGGATGGAGGAGGAGACTTCTGCTGCTTTTTTTTTTTTTTTTTTTTTTGAGACAAAGTCTCCCTCAGTCACCAGGTTGGAGTGTAGTGGTGCAATCTCGGCTCACTGCAACCTCCACCTCACTTGAACCTGCTGAGGCAGGTTCAAGCAATTCTCCTGACTCAGCCTCCTGGGTAGCTGGGACTGTAGGTGCATACCACCATGCCCAGCTAATTTTTGTATTGTTAGTAGAGTTGGGGCTTCACCATGTTGGCCAGGATGGTCTCAATCTCTTGACCTCGTGATCTGCCACCTCGGCCTCCCAGAGTGCTAGGATTACAGGCAGGAGCCACTGGGCCTGGCCTGCTTTTTACCTTAATGCATATCTGTGCTGTTTTAGCCTTTGATCATGAGCATAGATTCATTTTCTTTTTCTAAAGCTAAGAAATTCTAAAAAGCAAGTGAAGAAAGTTCATTTCAGTCATCAAAAGTATCTTAAGTGCCTCTGTTTACGTTACATTTATGTGTTTTTATTACATAAGGCTGAAGCATAGCAGGAGACAAAAACAGAAAATTCTAAATATGCTAATTCACTAGAATTTCCCAGTGGCATTTATATAAAGTCTAATTATAAAATGTGTTTATCATCTACTTATATAGTTCTTAAAAGTACTTTACATATTTGTACAATATACTTTATGTAAATATACACAAATGTACTTATAAGTATAATATAGAATTTTATATTTAATTCATATAGGCTGGCTGTGGTGGCTTAGGCCTGTAATCCAAGCACTTTGGGAGGCCAAGGTGGGAGGATCACTTGAGCTCAGGAGTTTGGGACCAGCCTGGGCAACATAGTGGTCTCAAACCGTCTCTGACAACAAATTTAGAAATTATCTAGGGATGGTGGCACATGCCTGTTATCCCAGCTACTGTTGGGGGATGGGCGAGAGCTGAGGTGGAAGGATCACTTGAACCCAGGAGTTAAAGGCTGTAATGAGCCATGCCACCACTGCCGTCCGATGGCACTCCACCCTGAGTGGCAAAGCAAGACCCTGTCTCAGAAAAGAAAAAAATAATAAAAGTAAAATAATTTATATAGAGATTTAGATTTTGTTTATATATAAAATACTGGATGACCATTCATCCTGATTTTTTTTGGGTAATCTCAATGTGTACCTGTTTCCCTGGCATTAGTGGTACTTCCTTTCTCTCTCAAGTGTCCTGTTTTGGATGCCGAATTATGTGTTCATCCTTTTTTTTTTTTTTTTTAAGAGATGGAGTCTCACTCTGCTGCCCAGGCTCTGTAGTGCAATGGTGCAATCTTGGCTCACTGCAACCTCCACCTCTTGGGTTCTAGCAATTCTCCTGCTTCAGCCTCCTGAGTAGCTGAGACTACAGGTGCATGCCACCACACCCAGCTAATGTTTTGTATTTTAGTAGAGACGGGGTTTCACCATGTTGCCCAGGTTAGCCTTGAACTCTTGAGTTCAGGCAGTCTACCCACCTCATCCTCCCAAAGTGCTAGGATTATAGGCATGAGCCGCTGCGCCCAGCCTGTTCATCATAGTTCTATATCTGTGCATATAAAATGTATTTAAGTATAATATATGTTCATGGATTTATTCATACTTGTATTTGCACATACATGTGGCTATGTACATACATGGACTATGCATTTTAAAAAATATATTTTAAAAGCTATTCTAGTTAAAATGTAAAAGCTATTCTAGTTAAAACAATCTATTCTAGTTTGTTTAAAAACAAACTCAGAAAAATAGTGACCTTAAAGTCAGATAGCAAGATATCCACTTACAAATTATCTTTTAAAATACTGACTCGGCCGGGCGCGGTGGCTCAAGCCTGTAATCCCAGCACTTTGGGAGGCCGAGGCGGGTGGATCACGAGGTCGAGAGATCGAGACCATCCTGGTCAACATGGTGAAACCCCGTCTCTACTAAAAATACAAAAAAATTAGCTGGGCATGGTGGCACGTGCCTGTAATCCCAGCTACTCAGGAGGCTGAGGCAGGAGAATTGCCTGAGCCCAGGAGGTGGAGGTTGCGGTGAGCCGAGATCGCGCCATTGCACTCCAGCCTGGGTAACAAGAGCGAAACTCCGTCTCAAAAAAAAAAAAAAAAAAATACTGACTCACCCAAATTTTTACATCTAGAATGTTTTTGTTAGCCTTTTTATGCTTATCTATTCCATCTCAGTGAATTTATTGCACAAAACTTGCCTTTTAGAAAATATTTTAGAAAGTTACATGTAAATTAAACCATCTTCTTTCTTATATTTCTTTTTCTGAAATCTATTGTGGGCTTTGCATTGGCAGGAACTCCTTAGACTTCTGTTTTAAGTTACTCTTTACGAAGAAATGTAGTGGAGGAGGTTGCTTTAAAGTAACTTAACTTTAAAGTCAAAGAATACTGTTTTTGGTGAAAATGACTGCCTGCCTCCCACATGAGCTCTTTTAATGTCTTAATTTTCGTCTTGGGGATATCCTTCAAGCAAATATGTCTAAGATCTGTGGGTCCAATGTTACTTTACTTACAGTTCTTATCAGTCACAGAAACTGAACCTGCTGAAGGGGCCAGGCAGGGCACATTACTGAGAAAAGCTGCCTGGTTGATAAATCCTTGGGTAGGCAGCATGTGTATTTTGGGGACATAGCCACTTGGTGCCAAGTCCTTCTTGCCAAGCAGGCTACAACCCCAGTGTTGTCTGGTCTTTTTATTCTTCTGGAAAAGCTATATTAATTTTTTTTTTTTAAGACAGAGTCTCGCTCTATTGCCCAGGCTGGAGTGCAGTGGTGTGATCTCGGCTCACTGCAACTTCCACCTCCCAGTTT